CCATGGAGTCAAGCATCGCTGGAACTACCTGATCTGGAATTAATTGAGACACCCTACCTTAACCCCAGCAGAAAGATCACTCCTTGCATTTCCATCAAGACTGGGAGGGAAACTAATCAATCAGAGGGTTTGCAGCCACTGAACATCAAAATTCACTTAAGATCACGGCAGCCCTCCACGGACCACATAATAGCCCAGAACGCAACAGGGAGGTGGATACCAGTGAAGTAAACAAGATTCATAGGTCCATTAGGACAGAACGACAGCTCTGCCAAAATGATAAGCTGCAGCAACTGTTGCTGCAGGTACCAAGAAATTTTGAAAAAAAGTAGCTATAAGCGTAGGGGTGGGCACCTCGAACTGGTTAACTACGTTACCGATAAGGGCAAATGGTTTCAGTCTAATAAACAAGAATTTACAGATGCCATTGCTCTAAGGCAGGGTCACCAAACTTTTTCACAGTGGGCCGGATACCTGAAAGAATGACGGCGCAGGCCGCATAATCATTCTTGTAATGAGTGATTGTCAGACCAAACCTTACAGCGCCCAGAATTATGTCACATATAACAGCAAGTACACCACAGACCTCGTGGTACCACCGCATTCAGGTTGACACAGGTCGACCTAGGGACTTGACCTGGCCCGCTAATGACGTGAGCGGTGACCTACAACCGCACCTAGCCAAGACACCTGGCCAGGACCACACCTGCACACAATTATCCAGATCAAACTAGTTTAGTGTTAATTGTTTAGGGTCAAAACCGGCTGGGCCGACCCCTATAAAAGGCCCTACAGTCCGTCCACGGGCATTCCATATTCGGCATTCGAGATTCCATCAGGGATTCCATTACGATTCTCATTCTGGTTGCTGTCATCTCTCTCCCGTTCGGGTCGTCACTCGGTTCACTTCTCGAGTCAAGCTCCCCTCTCCCCAGGTCAGGAAGGGACTTCCCGACCAGACCCCAACTAAGCAAGCCTCTCATGAGAGCAGCCCAGCCAGCACTCACTGGGCCTACGTCAGGGTACACGTGAGTCTTGTCAAGAACGTCCTAGGGTGAGTTACCTACTGTGGGAAGTGTATTCATTCAGGTGTGTCAGAGTCAGTGTCAAGTAACGTAAAGCATAATGTGTTAGTACCCCGATATAATAGTGATATTAATGTGTCCATGTCATTGAGTGAAGTAATAAATAGTTGTATCAAGGAGTGTTTAACAAGTTGTCCCTTTAAGAAGTGATATATGTGTATTGACATACGAGATAAGATAAGCGTAGTGGCTGTGCAAATAACATCAGGCCACGCTACCAAGTTTCCTACCTTTACATTCCTACTCTCTATACTTCCTACTTATGTATGTAATTCTCTTCTTGTGAGTTTTGTCTCATTACATTCTGTTCAATACTTGCAAGCAGAACGAAAAGCTCTGGTAACGTCAGGCGTAGTTTTGAGCTCACCACGAGCGGGGAAGGACTTGGGATCCGGCCCTGGCAGACGTGGTTTGTGACCCCTGCTCTAAGAATGCGGTCGGCCAGTAGAGTTTGCCCTCCCAATGCGTGTGTGGCTCTTCCTATGATGTCGATCACGCCATGGTGTGTAGAAAGGGGCTTCATATGCATGGGGCATGACGAAGTAAGGGACCTCACAGCAAATATATTGAAGAAATCTGCTGGGATGTCATGGTAGAACCGACCCTTCCTTTGGATGGTGAGATCTTCAACATAGGACTTCAAACCCATCTAACGATGCCCGTTTTGACGTCAATGCTCGAGGATTCTGGGCGGGGACAACGAGCTTTCTTCGACATAAGGATTTTTTATCCATATGCATGTCTCCATAACCTAGCTCTCGATGCTGCACACGCAGGAACGAGAACGACAAGATAAGGGCATATGGGGGAAATTCAAAACGTTGGTCAAGGCAGCTTCACTCTTCTAGTGTTCACAACCTCTGGTGGGATGGGACCAAGTGCAAGGTTTCTCGCCAGACTCGCGGAGGTGATCTCCGAACAAGCAGCAGCCCAGAAGTTATGTTACAGCCTGGATGAGATGTCGACTGTCTTTCTCTCTCCTTCGGTCAGCTTTGCTCTACCTCAGGGAAAGAGACTTCTGCCCCAATGCCGACAACTGCAGCTAATATTGACTATGAGGCTACAGTCACTGAATGCCACATTGATCTGCAGCTCAACTAATTCAACACAGATAGGATAGGTACTTATGTATTAGGATATTTAATATTAAGTAAACCAAAAAAAAAAAAAAAAAAGTACTAGTAGTAGCAACCGAGTTCAAGCAAGTGGCGCATGCTGACGACCTTACAGGAGCAGGAAAAGTAGGGGACATCAAAGTGGTGGGACCTAGTAACATCACGAGATCACAAATAGGGTACCACCCAAACGCCAGCAAGTCCTTCCTAATTGTGAAACCAGAACATTATGAACGGGCAATGGAGGTGTTCGGTGGAAGTGAGGTCAAAATAACAAAGGATGGCCAAAGACACCTGGGTGCAGTAATCGGAACGACGGATTTCAGACCAAGTAGTTGTGGTGGTAGTAGTAGTAGTAGTAGTGGTGGTGAAGGTGATGGTGGTAGTACGGTGGGTGAAATGTCTTGCCCGACCTCCGTGATCCAGCTATTATGTTATTTGCAAGGCATGATGTGTGTGGGCTGAGTGGGAAGGGAGGAAGGGATGGAAGAAGGGGGGGAGGTACGGAGGGAGGTAGGGACGGAGGGAGGGAAGAAGGGAGGGAGGGAGAGAAGGATGTCTGCTTGGTCCTGAGTAGAGCTGCAAGTTGGATGAAGGTTGTAGGCAGGCAGGCAGGCAGGGAGGGGGGAGGAGGACCTTTGTGTGTGCACCTTCAGGGGAGAGAGGCAGAGCAGGGGGGAGAGGGGGAAGAGGAAGAGGAGTTGAAGGAGGAGGGAGAGGATACAGGGTTGTGGTGGCACCAGGTATAGGTAGGAATCTCAGTAAGTACCTGTCGAAAAGGGGACTCATGATACCTGTCCTGCCATCACTGTAAACACTCACCTGTACTCTACTCTCAGGATGAGTAAAATGTATGAGTGAACACAACGACCTGACATCACCATTCACGAGCATTGACATCCCTTGTGTGTTGCCAACAGAGATGAAGATATGCAGAGTATGGCGTCGCTGATGTCTATGAACACTCCCAACGACATCGCCCCTCTGGAGGACTTCGACGACGAGGACGACAACGAAGGTGAGGTCCTGTGGCAGCCATGTTGTTGACTGTGACGTCATGATGGTGGGGAGGGTGTGGGGGTTGTTGCTAGTTGTTTAGTGTTTCAAAGTAAATTCAGGAAAAATCTGATTGATAATAATAATAATAATAGTGGTACGTGTAGTAGTAGTCTTCTTAATGGTGGTGTTCTATACCCATTATTATTATTATTATTATTATTATTATTATTATTATTATTATTCCCGAAGAAATTTCCTGAATATTAAAGACTCACAAATTTAATGGGGGTTTAAATTATCCGCAAATTTTATCCCCGTCATTAATTCCTTTATTATCTCTCTGACTCCACATTTAGCTTCAACAATAAGCAAATGATCAACTATTCTTGACAGAGTTCATGATAATAATAAGACAGTAAAGCATAACCTTGCCGTGAGTCTGGATAGGCCTTTTGTACTGCTATTCAGAGTAATATACATATATATATATATATTTGTTCACATGGGATCTTGAAGCCGTGTTTGATATGTTAATTTTCTGTGATGTGGGTTGTGTATATTGATGTGTATTGTGTGTGTGTGTGTGTTTCGTGTGGGTAGGAGGTGTTGTTGGGGTGGGTGTGTATGTGTGTGTATATATTTTAATGTGTATTGTTATGTACATTCTTGTTGTGGGTATAGGTTTCAGTGTTGGTAATACAGTATTGTGTTTGTGTGTGTGCGTTTATGTGTTTCTGTGTGTGTATATACTGTATATAAGTGTGTGTACCGATATCGGCTGTGTGTGTCTTTGTTGTGGGGATAAATACGTTCATTAACATTTCTTATGCATGTATATGTATGTATGTATGTATGTATGTATGTATGTATGTATGTAATTGTAAGTGTGGTATATTAGTGTTGTATACATATAGCTAGCTGGCTGTTTCCGCCTCCCTCCCCCACAGTCACCCACCTCCACCACCCACCCACACCATCACACAGCCTTTCACCCCCCACACCACCACCTATCCCACCCCCACACCACCACCCCCACCTCTCCACCCCCCACACACCACCCCCATCCCCACACCACCCCACCTCTCCCACCCCTCCCTCCACCACCCCCACCTCTCCCCACCCCCACACCACCACCCCCATCCCACACCACCCCACCTCTCCCAGCCCTCCACCACCCCTACCTCTCCCACCCCTCCACCACTCCCACCCTCCACCACCCCCACCTCTCCCACCCCTCCACCACCCCACACTCCCACCCTCCACCACCCCCACCTCTCCCACCCCCACCTCCTCCCACCCCCCCCACCACCCCCACCTCTCCCACCCCCCACACCACCCATCCCACACCACCCCACCTCTTCCACCCCTCCACCACCCCCACCTCTCCACCCTCCCACCACCCCCACCTCTCCACCCACCACCCCCATCCCCACACCACCCCATCCCACCACCCCCTCTCCCACCCCTCCACCACCCCCCACCACCCCCATCCCCCACCACCCCCACCTCCCACCCCTCCACCACCCCCACCTCTCACCCCCACCACCCCATCCCACCACCCCCCACCTCTCCCACCCCTCCACCACCCCACCTCTCCCACCCTCCACCACCCCCACCTCTCCCACCCTACCTCTCCCACCCTCCACCACCCCACATCTCCCACCCCACACCACCCCATCCCCACACCACCCCCCACCTCTCCCACCCCTCCACCCCCCCACCTCTCCCACCCCTCCACCACCCCTCTCCCACCCCCACCCCCACCTCTCCCACCCCCACCACCCCCACCTCTCCCACCCCACCTCTCCCACCCCCACCACCCCCATCCCCCCACCTCTCCCACCCCCCACCACCCCCACCTCTCCCACCCCTCCACCACCCCCCACCTCTCCCCACCCCCCACCACCCCCCACCTCTCCCACCCCCACCTCTCACCCCACCTCTCCCACCCCCACCTCTCCCACCCCACCTCTCCCCACCCCTCCCTCTCCACCCTCCACCACCCTCTCCCAGCCCTCCACCTCCCCCACCTCACCCCCCACCACCCCCCACCTCTCCCACCCCTCCACCACCCCCCACCTCTCCCACCCCTCCACCACCCCCACCTCTCCACCCCTCCACCACCCCACCTCCTCTCCCACCCCTCCACCCCCCACCCCTCCACCCCCCCACCCCACACCCCACCCCCCACACCCCCACCCCCCACCAGCCCCACACAGTCACGATGAAGATATTAATAACCGGCAAATTTGTAAATGGTATTAGCAGAGGGCGGCCACGACCCCCATACCTGGTGACTATGGTCGTTGGTGGGCTCAAATGGCGTCACTCCAACACATTTACACTTGGGTTATGTTCGCCATTACTGAACCTCCTGCCGGGTCTTGTGTGGGGGTTTTTGTACTGGCTGAAAAATATGAAATACAGTATCTTAAAAATGTTGAGAAAAAAATAGTGATAATGGTAGTTGTTGTGCATAGATGGTGTGTGTGTGTGTGTGTGTGTGTGTGTGTGTGTGTGTGTGTGTGTGTGTGTTACCGTTGTGTAGGTAGCTGTGGGGACCTGTAAAGTCTGACGTCAAGGCCGATTATTATCGAAGTTTTCCAAATGTGTCCTAATTGTTACTCTCTCTCTCTCTTTCTCTCTTGTGGTTATGACTTTGTCATGTCGGTGTGAACTGACATGACCTTTGTTGGTGATGACCCTATATATATATATCTCTGGTGAATTTTTTATCATATTTTCGTTATTTCTTTCCTGTCCCCCGCCCACCTTTTTCCCACCCACCCGCCCACCTGGCTCTGCGCGTGGTTATGGGTGTGCTCTGGAACACTGACTTGGTGGTATGTGGCATTGGCTCTCTCTCTCTCTCTCTCTCTCTCTCTCTCTCTCTCATTCCGTCCATCCGCCCGTTCACCTATGCCTGGTGTTGGCGGCGGCGGTGTTGTGTTGGCGTGGTGGATTCTGTTTGCCCCGCCCGCCCCTCGCCCGTGAACAACCACCTCCATCGCCCCCTCCCTACCATTCCTCCCAACAGGTCGCTGCTACAGTGAACCAGCCAGCCGTGTGTCTACTCTTCGCCGCAAAGGACGCTCCTCCACACTCACCTCTCCAGGCTCCCCAGGTATCAACCCAAGGCGCTCCCATGCCACGCTCGTATCCGCCCACCCGCCCGTAGCCTCCCCGCCGCCCGTCCGCCCACTCGCTCGTTCGGTCACACTCGCCACTTTCTCCACCTCAACACCCTCTTCCTCCTACACCTATTCCTCGTAACCTCGCTACCACAACTTTCCAGCAAATTTATTTATGATTTTTATTTTATTGATTTTTTGTCTTCCACTAATGCTGTTTCGTCTTGGTAGCTGGACTGGTTTGGTTTTTTTGGTTTTTCTTTCTGTTTACATTTTGTTTTAACCTCACGGGACTCGATACTTCCAATGTATGTTGTGTGTGTGTGTGTGTGTGTGTGTGTGTGTGTGTGTGTGTGTGTGTTTGTTTTGTTTGTTTTTCTACATTAGTTTCACATTTTTTATTTTGTACAACACGTTTGTTTTATTCGCTTGTAACCATCCCGCACCACTCCCGCACCACCACCCACCACCACGCACCACCCACCATCCCGCACCACCACCACCATCCCGCACCACCACCACCACCACCCACCACCACCACGCCGCACCACCACCACGCACCCCACTAGAACTCACTCACTCGCTTTTGGGGGCTTTTTTTTAAGTACTGTGGTTCGCTATCTGGCTTTTATATGCTGTATATATAGTACTTGAGATCTTGTCTTTGGCTTATATTACACTCTGGTATAAACCTTGACTTTCCCCTCTCACTAGATATTTTAGAAAAGAAGATAGTTACCTAACTTACCATAACATTAAATACGTTTGTGATACTCAAGTGTGTTTTTACTGTTTTTCTTTAGTGTTTTTTTAGGACCCAACTACTGTGATGGTGTGTTGTGTTCTGTGTTATATATATATATATATATATATATATATATATATATATATATATATATATATATATATATATATATATATATACACACGAGGCTGTCATGTTTAGTGTAGGGTAGAGTGGTAAGTATGTGGTGTGTGTGTGGGGGTGTTTGGGTTGTGTGTGTGGGGGTGTTTGGGTTATGTGGTGTGTTGACTTTGTATTGTGTGTGGCTGCTCTTTCTGCTTATTTGTTTTCTCTCTCTCTCTCTCTCTCTCTTTTCAGCAGCAAGTATTTACACATCCGGAGTCACCCATTTTAGCTCACCACCCCATTCTCACCTGAAATTGCTCCTGCGTCATTGGCGTAGAGGGCGTGTTAAACCCTACATAAAAGCGGCGACTAGAAATTAAAACAAAAGGTTTAAAATGGTTGTAGGTGAGTTCTTGTGTCATGTCAGAATGTGGGGTGGGGTTGGGTTAGGTTGGGTTGGGTTGGGGTGGGTTGGGTGGGGTGGTAGAGTTGAGCTGAGGTTAGGTTGGGTTAGTTTGGGGTGGGGTGGGTAAGGTTGAGCTGAGTTGGGTTGGGCTGTTGGGGAGTAGGTTATGGGGTGGGTTGGGTTGGGTTAGGTTGGGGTGGGTGGGGCGGTTAGGTTAGGGTTGGGTTAGGTTGGGTTAGGTTGGTGGGTTAGGTTGGGTTAGGTTGGTTAGGTGGGTTGGGCTGAGCTGAGCTGGGTTGGGTTAGGTTGGGGTGGGTAGGGTTGGGTTAGGTTAGCTGAGTTGGGTTGGGTTAGGTTGGGCTGGGTTGGGGTGGGTTAGGTTGGGGTGGGTTGGGTTAAGGTTAGGTTGGGGTTGGGTGGGGTGGGTTGGGGTGGGTGGGCAGGTGGGTGGGGTTGGGTTAGGTTAGGTGGGTTGGGGTGGGTTAGGTTGGTGTTGGGTTAGGGTTGGGGTGGGTGGGGTTGGGTTAGGTTGAGCTGGGTTGGGGTTGGTGGGGTTGGGTTAGGTTGGTGTTGGGTTAGGTTGGGTTAGGTTGGTGTTGGGTTAGGTTGGGGTGGGTGGGGTTGGGTTAGGTTGGTGTTGGGTTAGGTTGGGTTAGGTTGGTGTTGGGTTAGGTTGGGGTGGGTGGGGTTGGGAGGTTGGGGTGGGTGGGGTTGGTTGGGAGTTGGGGTGGGTGGGGTTGGGTTAGGTTGAGCTGAGTTGGGGTGGGGTTGGGTTAGGTTGGTGTTGGGTTAGGTTGTGTTGGGTTAGGTTGGTGTTGTGTTAGGTTGGGGTGGGTGGGGTTGGGTTAGGTTGAGCTGGGTTGGGTTAGGTTGAGCTGGGTTGGGTTGGGTTAGGTTGAGCTGGGTTGGGTTGGGGTGGGTGGGGTTGGGTTAGGTTGAGCTGAGTTGGGTTAGGTTGAGCTGGGTTGGGTTGGGTTGGTTGAGCTGGGTTGGGTTGGGTTAGGTTGAGCTGAGTTGGGTTGGGTTAGGTTGATCTAGGTTGGGTTGGGTTAGGTTGAGCTGGGTTGGGTTGGGTTAGGTTGAGCTGGGTTGGGTTGGGTTAGGTTGAGCTGGGTTGGGTTGGGTTAGGTTGGGTTGGGTTAGGTTGGGTTGGGGTGGGTGGGGTTGGGTTAAGCTTGGTTAGGTTAGGTTACTGTCTTTGTTGGAAGTAATACTGATCTGTAGTCGTCTAATTACTGTAGGTTTCATTAATTAGTTTTGTTAGGGAGGTTATTTGGTTTTGTTAATTTGGTTAATAAGGTAATTAAGTTGTATGAGTTAGCTGGTTGTTGAGGTTTGATAAGGCATTATTAATTTTAGTATCGTGTTCAACTAGATTTAGTGTGTGTGTGTGTGTGTGTGTGTGTGTGTGTGTGTGTGTGTGTGTGTGTGTGTGTGTGTGTGTGTGTGTGTGTGTGCGTGCGTGCGTGCGTGCGTGTGCGTGTGTGTGTGCGTCGACATGGTAGCATCCACAATAGGTCAGATATGTAAGTCACTCGCTAAACTTCTGAGCTTTGGTTAATCTAGGTTAGGTTAGGTTAGGTTAGGTTAGGTAAGGTTAGGCTAGGCTAGGCTAGGTTAGGTTAGGTTAGGTTAGGTTAGGTTAGGTTAGGTTAGGTTAGGTTAGGTTTGGTAAGGTAAGGTAAGGTAAGGTAAGGTAAGGTTAGGTTGGGTTAGGTTAGGTTGGGTTAGGTTAGGTTAGGTTAGGTAAGGTTAGGTTAGGTTAGGTTAGGTTAGGTTAGGTTAGGTTAGGTTAGGTTAGGTAAGGTTAGGTTGGGTTGGGTTAGGTTAGGTAAGGTTAGGTAAGGTTAGGTTAGGTTAGGTTGGGTTAGGTAAGGTTAGGTTAGGTTAGGTTAGGTTGGGTTAGGTTAGGTTAGGTTAGGTTAGGTTAGGTAGGTGAGAAGGTTAGGTAAGGTTAGGTTAGGTTAGGTTAGGTTAGGTTAGGTTAGGTAAGGTAAGGTAAGGTTAGGTTAGGTTAGGTTAGGTTAGGTTAGGTTAGGTTAGGTTAGGTTAGGTTAGGTTAGGTTAGGTTAGGTTAGGTAAGGTTAGGTAAGGTTAGGTTAGGTTAGGTTAGGTTAGGTAAGGTTAGGTTAGGTTAGGTAAGGTTAGGTTAGGTTAGGTTAGGTTAGGTTAGGTTAGGTTAGGTTTCGTTAGTTATTATTATTTCTTTATATAACCCGGTTCCTTCCTTAAGAAATTGGTGTTTGAGGTTGAAGCGACTCTCACTGTGCCTCTTTCTCAACATACCTTCTCTTTACGCACGCTTGAGGTCCCAGTGTTCCGTATTCTCAAAAACTCACTCGACAATAATGACGTGTAGATTATGGTGTTAGTGGTGAGTTAAGATTGAGTTCAGTTTTGAGAATACGTGTACCCTGGTGACTGTCAACACGTGCTTCTGTTGACTGCCTCGTGGTGTTGTTTTGTTGCTTCTGGGTGATGCTTATGGAAGGTGACTGTTTAGTGTTCCCTTCCACTGGTGACTGTTGTGTTATAATGCTTTTACTACTTTAGTGTGTTGGTGATCATGGTGTGTTGATGACTCCCCTCTTCTCCCTCATCCTCAGAGTATAGTTAGTAGTTACCATAACAACAGCTCCTATTTCCAAGGTACCTGTGTAGTTTCCCTCCCTCACTACCCCCACCCTCCTCTCACCACCACCACCACCATCATCTACCACAACTAACTGGGACTCCCTTGTGTTTTTTCTTTCTCCCACGCTCACTTCTTCCATGCTGATGCTCCACCACCACCACCACCACCACAACAACAACCAATGTTTGTGCGTGTGTGCCATTACCACCACCGCTTCAACAACCACTGTGTGTGTGTGTGTGTGTACATGCCACTACTACTATCACCATGGTCACCGGCGGGGCCTCCACACCAGGAGATGCCATGGTCCGCTCGGCCGAGTTCAGTCAACTAGCGGCTCAGATCAGCTCCCTCACCTCCTCCTTTCACCAGGATGACCCCCTGGCCTTCTCCTTCAGCGACTCCCGTGAGTATCCTGCATCCTGGTCACACACACACACACACACCTCAGAGTACCACGCCCTAGTACCTACCTAGAGTCCAAGACGTCAAGAGCAATACTGTACACCTTTGGTTCTTGAGTCCTAACACCTTAAAAGTACTGAACTGTAGGTTATAGAGTCCAACACATAAGAGTAGTGGGTCTTAGAATCTAGAGTCCAACACGTAAAGAGTATCATATCTTACAGCCCAGAGTCTAAGATGCCACAAGTTCTGATTATAAGCTACCATTACCCTTGACATCTTGGTACCAGAGTACAGTAAGTATGGCCAGACTAGTGTTGGTATGGTAGAGATTCTCATAATCTGACCTTCAGTGCTCCACCAGTAGTGTTGGTCTCAGGTAAGGATGGTTTAATCAGTCCCAGGTGGCTCAGTAGTACCTGGTCACTCCAAAGGAAGAAACACGAACAAGATAATAATAATAATAATGATAGATTTAATAATAATAATAATAATAATCATAATAATGATGCGTAAACATTTCCTAGACGTTGGCAAAAGAGGTGGAATATAAAAGGTGTAGATTAATACAGGTTAATTGTCGTGTTTACCTGTCGTGTTTGTACCAGGTAGGCTCCTAAGGTGTGTGATGGCATTACAGGAGAGTCAATGTGTGTGTTATTGTCTCAGTTAGGTTAGGTTGGGTTATGGTATGGTTGTGTGGATAGGAATAAGAGTGGGTGAGGGCTAAGACTGTAGAGGTGGGTAAGGAAGGGAACTCATTGTGGGTAGTGACGATGAGGTATAACCGTGTGTGTAGGAGTGACTCAGGGCATATTACCGCCTCCTCCTGACAAAGCTTCTCCCCATTGTACTTAGATTAGCTTCTCTGGACAGCTTCAACCTTGGCCGTCCAGTTTAAATGTTGTGTACCCACCCCGCAGCTAAAAACATGTACCTGCTGTTATTGGGTTGAAAGAGAGAGAGAGAGAGAGAGACCCCATAGTTAATAAGGAGTTAAGTAAGTGAGTGTGATTAAAGCGGATTTAGTGAATAGTGTCTAGAGCTGTTAGACGGAGCTGATAAAATTCGGTTTTCGTGGTGCAGAAAGTTTTAGTTTGTTGCCATATACGTCAACAGGTAAGTTCATCACTACAGGTGCCATAAGTCACCAGGGAAGATAAATACATATTCAATAAAGTAATTTGGTAAGTAAACAAGTTGGTAAATAGTTTTGTAAGTGAGTAAAGTAGTAGGTAAGTATTTCAGTAAGTTAAGTGTTTTAAGTAGTTAAGTAAGGTGTTCGGTAAGTAAGCAACTGCCAGGTGAGTGCTGCATCATTAGTTACCTGTATGTCTTGCCTCCAGCACCTTATACAAAACTGTGTGGTGTACTGTACAGGTGTGTGGCAGACAGACATGTGTACTAACAGGTGTGTGGGGAACCTCCTCACCTGTGCCTCTGCATCGCTAATGAGGTGTACAGAGTTGTGGTAAAATAATGACAGGTGTAAATGAGTGTTGTTGGAGAACTCTGCCTGAAGATAGTGTGTGTGTGTGTGTGTGTGTGTGTGTGTGTGTGTGTGTGTGTGTGTGTGTGTGTGTGTGTGTGTGTGTGTGTGTGTGTGTGTGTGTGTGTGTGTGTGTGTGCTTACAAAATCATTAAGCACCGTTTAGTTTTAGTCTCTACAACACACAACTGTTTATAATAATTATAAACAAATAAATGTGGACTTGAAACTGTTGATTTACAAATGGACTCTCTAGTTACAATTTACAGGTGGACTCCATACAATTTACAAATGGACTCAATACTGATGATTTACAATGGGACTCGATACAAGATTTACACATAGTCTCGATACTCAGGTTTGACAAATTTATTCAACACTTTATTTACAAACAGACTCAAGACTTTATTTACAAATGGACTCTCTACTTACGACTTACAAATGGGGAGAACATTTACGTTTGTGTTGTGTTCTTCTAACTGCTCCTGTAAACAGTTATTGTAAAAAAAATATAATTAACAGCGGCACTCCACGTATCATTCACCCATTGTAAATCTCACTTTTTTTCTCCTGTGATGTAAATATAGAAGCACATGTTTCCCCTTGAGGTATTTGTTTCCTTTATAATATTGTTTTAGATTAAGGATTCTTTAAACTAATGGCTTTTGCTTGGTGTTTCCCGGCATCTAAGACTCCTTAAGACTCTGTGTGTGTGTGTGTGATGTGCTGGAATAAACTGAAAGGAGTTAGCTGTTTTTTGGGGGGTCAGAGTCGTTTGTGTGACGTGCGGATTCAGTTCTGTATTTTACACTTTATAAAAATACTGCGTTACTCATTGACCCAAAAATAAATGCTTATCATGAGAATTTATTTATTTTTTTATATAAGTTTGGTGCTCGGGCTGATTAATGGTTATATTGGATTTTTGCGTGAGATAAAGTTATTAATATTTTTTTGGTTAATTATTTTAGTTAATTAATTTTTCAGGTGTATTGTTGATTGTCGTGTTAATCAGGTATTACATGTATTGAGATTAGTAATTAAATAATACACTTTTTTTTTTTACTTGCTGATGACGTTTCACCACCTGTGTGTGTTTAATCAAGTATTTAAGTCACCTGGAAAATTCAAGATATTTGTAGTTTCAGCGAGATACTAGACCGTATTTCAGCATTAATTCTTGGTGTTACTGAGAGACAAAATGTGATTTCACTGTAATGATAAGGTGTGTTTAAGAAGGCCGGTACCTGAGTGTGGGTGTTACGTGATGGGCACCTGGGGTAAGGAATGGTGTTAACCCCTTCACTACAGGGTGATTATATCCAGTACAGACAGACCTCCATACACAAGGGGTTAAGGGTCATAGTGTTGTGTTGTGTCCTGCACCTAGACTAACGCTTGGTGGTGCTGAGGGGCGGCGTCTCCTACAAGGTGATGGAACACAAGGCCTCGTACAGTGTGTAGCGCCTATCTGATGTTCCTCACGGGGGATAATAATACGAGTATCTTGTAGTTTTGATGTTAAAGATTGGTAAGGTCTATTTTTGGGGGGTAGGGTGGACGATGCTGCCAGAACATGTCAAATGATGCTGTTAACAGAGGAACCCAACATTGTTTTTTACCACCTGTAGATGGCGCCGCCCCTCAGCTGGGTGCTAGATAAAGGCGCACCTGTGAGTGTGTGTGTTAAGGCTTGGCACTGCTCACTCTCTAACACTGTGTTGTTGCCTCTTGGCCCCGGGCCCTCCCCCTTCCCCTCCCCTGTAACAGTGCTGGTCTCCGGCTACCCCCTGGACCTCTCAAGCCCCGACTGTGCCCACCTGCAGCCAGGCTCCGCCCTCTCACCGCCCCACTCACCCTACACGCCCACGCCCACGCCCACCCCTCTACAAGGTATATTATTGCCTGGTGGTAGCTGGGGTCACGGTAGGCCTTCCCCTCCTTCACTGTACTAAATATTCTCCGTCTCCGCCTGTACTAACATTACTCGTGTTGACTGTGATGGTAAGTACAGTACTACGTCACTCACGAGGGCCTGGCCAGCACCTGGCCACACAGACATTACAGTTACCTTTAATATTTTAGTGATTTCTCTTGTCATATGAAGAATATCTTATACAATCATATTGACGATTTATTAGTAATTTATATCAATGACTTTGTTTAGTTATCTTTTGAAATTATAGCTTCTTTTAGGACACCCAAACTGGATGTATAGATAATATGTGTAGTGTTTAAAGTGCATGGAGGAATAAATTAGGTGGTAGGTGAAGGTTTAGGATTATTGTGCTGATGAATCTAAGTGATGTCTTCCTTCCTCTCCCTCCCACCACCACCTCAGACTCGCCCCTTAACGCTTTCGACGAGACAGAGGAAGACGCGGCCACACTTGAGGGAGGAGAGGAACAAGCCCACGCCCTCTCCACCGATGGCGACCCCTCCTCCACCAACATCACCAGCAGTTCCAACACCTATCACCAATCCGAAGGTCGTGAGGGAGGAGCTACAGGGACCGCTGACTCTGCCACTACCGCCACCACCTCTGCGACTACTGCGTCACCCACATCAGACCAACACACATCCGTCCAAGAAGGGTGAGTACTCAACTGAGGAGCTTTGTGTTTTTGTTTTTCTTTACAGAACGATTTTGGACCCGGATTTTCTGTACCATTTTGGACCCGGATTTTCTGTACCATTTTGGACCAGGATTTTCTGTACCATTTTGGACCCGGATTTTCTGTGCCGTATATATTTATTTATATTTGTACTCTTTGGAACTTCAGTTACTGTATTATTTGGTGCTGTAATCTCCGTACTGTATGTATATTGCGTAAATTCTTCCAAGTGGTTGATACAGTCCCATGATACTTGAAACATCTTTTGCTGTACTGTAAGTCACAAAGTCGGTGACCCTGTAACCGCCTTATACAATATTATAGAATGTAGTGACTTACAAACTGTTTACAACTACAGTAGTTCGCGATGTTGTAGAGAAACATGGAGAGTAAGTCTTCGAGTGGGCCAGTAGCTCCAATCACAGTTCCGCTTTCAAAACATACCGACCAATCACAAGCTGGCTCTTGGGGAAGCGAAGGAATGCCCAGCTCTCAAAAGACGCCCTAATGTGTCAGATAAAGAGGTGTTAGTTATGCTGGATGAGGTCAAGAACAAGCAGCTCAAGGGGTTTATTTACACTTCTTTACATATTTTCCACAAACTAAACAAAATTATTTCTGTATATTTCACACAATAAGATAAAAAAATTACAATTTACAATAAAAAACTTAATATCCACTAAATAATCATCCAGGAAACTAATAACAGTTTATAATAAATAAAATATGAAAAGCACAAATAATAATGATAATTGGGTGTGTGTGAAGCCTTTATTTTCTGTGCCAATTTTGACTGGGATTTTGTCTACCATTTTGAACATCGATCTTTATTACTGTATTTATTTATTTATTTATTTATTTATATACTCTTTGGGACTATAATTACTGTATTATTTGGTCCTGTAATTATCTGTACTGTATCTGTGTTAACTCTTCCTGGTGGATGATACACACTGCCGGGTTATTTTTCCTGTGTCTTGTGTTGGTGTGTTCTATCAGTTAGGTAACACAGGGTGGTTGTTCTAGCCTCTGGTACGACGGGGTGTAGTGGTCGTACGTGACTATTAGTTCCAGGCTGTGTAGTGGTCGTACGTGACTATTAGTTCCAGGCTGTGTAGTGGTCGTTGGTGACTATTAGTTCCAGGTTGTGTAGTGGTCGTAGGTGACTATTAGTTCCAGGTTGTGTAGTGGTCGTTGGTGACTATTAGTTCCAGGTTGTGTAGTGGTCGTTGGTGTAAGGTTGTGTAGTGGTCGTTGGTGACTATTAGTTCCAGGTTGTGTAGTAGTGTCTGGTAGCAGGATACTGTGTTACAATTCCTCGCGCCCCGCCCCTTTATCTACATCGTGAGAGAGAGAGAGAGAGAGAGGTGGAGGAATTGAAGGGCGGAGCTTACAACTTCAGGGCACCCTTGATTTCTCCTGCCGACGCCTGAGGGAGCAATAGCCAGAGTGAGATGCCCTCCCTCCCTCCCTCCGTGCAGTATTGCTTTCACACACACACACACACACACACACACGAGATAGACAGTTAGGTAGATAGATAAATGCTGTAGAGAGAGAGAGAGAGAGAGAGAGTGTATGTGTGTTTTGTTATGAAGTTTGAGTGCAATTTCACCGCCAACACTGCCGCCAAATTTGTCTCATAAGTTTAATGAGAGAGTCGGATGTTTGTTTTTTCTTCAGATAGGAGGAAATTTTAACTTACGGAACGTTTTGAAGATCTTGAGAAAGTTATGATGCTCCTGAGAACATTTTGAGGATCCTAGGGACGTTTTGAGGAGCCTGAGAATGTTTTTATGCTCCTGAGAACGTTTTGACGCTGCTGAGAACGTCTTAATGACCCCAGGACTCAGTGAAGGAGAACGAATCATGACGCGCAGGGCAGGACATCAATCAATCATCGAGTCGTTTAGTGGGTTGATGGGTTGATGAAGGGATAGAGGGAGGGAGGGATGGATAGAGGGAGGGGAGGGATGGGTTGATGAAGGGATAGAGGGAGGGAGGGGGATGGGTTGATGAAGGGTTAGATGGAGGGAGGGAGGGAGGGATGGGTTGATGAAGGGTTAGGGAGGGAGGGAGGGATGGGTTGATGAAGGGATAGAGGGAGGGAGGGATGGATAGGGGAGGGAGGGATGGGTTGATGAAGGGATGGGGAGGGGGATGGATAGAGGGAGGGAGGGATGGATGGAGGGAGGGAGGGGAGGATGGGTTGATGAAGGGATAGGGGCGGGAGGGATGGATGGAGGGAGGGAGGTATGGGTTGATGAAGGGTTAGGGGAGGGAGGGGTATGGGTTGATGAGGGATGGGTTGATGAAGGGTTAGAGGGAGGGAGGATGGATGGAGGGAGGGAGGAATGGGTTGATGAAGGGATAGAGGGAGGAGGGAGGGATGGGTTGATGAAGGGTTAGAGGGGGAGGGAGGGAGGGATGGATGGAGGAGGAGGATGGGTTGATGTAGGGGTTAGGGGAGGAGGGATGGATGGGTTGATGAAGGGATAGGGAGGGAGGGATGGATGGAGGGAGGGAGGATGGGTTGATGAAGGGTTAGAGGGAGGGAGGGGGAGGGATGGATGGAGGGAGGGAGGGATGGGTTGATGTAGGGTTAGAGGGAGGAGGGATGGATGGGTTGATGAAGGATAGATGAGGGAGGGATGGATGGAGGGAGGGAGGGATGGGTTGATGAAGGGATAGGAGGGAGGATGGGGGAGGGATGGGTTGATGAAGGGATAGAGGGAGGGAGGGAGGGATGGGTTGATGAAGGTTGGGAGGGAGGGAGGGAGGGATGGGTTGATGAAGGGTTAGAGGAGGAGGGATGGATGGGAGGATGGGTGATGAAGGGTTAGAGGGAGGAGGATGGATGGAGGAGGAGGGATGGATGGAGGGAGGGAGGATGGGTTGATGAAGGGATGGAGGGGAGGGAGGGAGGATGGGTTGATGAAGGATAGGGAGGGAGGGAGGAGGAGGGAGGGAGGATGGGTTGAGTGATAGAGGAGGGAGGGAGGGATGAGGAAGGAGGGATGGATGGAGGGAGGGAGGATGGGTTGATGAAGGGGATGGAGGGGAGGGAGGGAGGGATGGGTTGATGGAGGAGGGAGGGGTGGAGAGAGGGAGGAATGGATGGAGGGAGGGAGGGATGGGTTGATGAAGGGATGGAGGGAGGGGGATGGGTTGATGAAGGGATAGGGGGGAGGGGTGGATGGAGGGAGGGAGGGATGGGTTGATGAAGGGATGGAGGGATGGAGGAGGGAGGGATGGGTTGATGAAGGGAGGGAGGGATGGGTTGATGAAGGGATGGGGGAGGGAGGGATGGATGGAGGGAGGAGGGATGGGTTGATGAAGGGATGATGGGTTGATGAAGGGATAGAGGAGGGAGGGAGGGATGGGTTGATGAAGGGATAGAGGGAGGAGGGATGGATGGAGGGAGGGAGGGATGGATGGAGGGAGGAGGGAGGATGGGTTGATGAAGGGATGAGGGAGGGATGGATGGAGGAGGGAGGGAGGGAGGAGGATGGGTTGATGGAAGGTTTAGATGAGGGATGGATGGAGGGAGGAGGAGGAGGATAGCTGTTGGGTGGTAAAGGGTGTTGTAGAGAGCCAGGCTGTTAAAAGTCATCACTTATGTCAGAGTGATTACAGAGGCTACAGGTGGTGGAGGAGGGGCTGTGTTGGTGGAGGAGGAGCTGTGTTGGGAGGAGGGGTGTTGGTGGAGGAACAGCTGTGTTGGTGGAGGAGGGGCTGTGTTGGTGGAGGAGGGCTGTGTTGGTGGAGGAGGGGCTCTGTTGGTGGAGGAGGGGCTGTGTTGGTGGAGGAGGGCTGTGTTGATGGAGGAGGGCTGTGTTGGTGGAGGAGGAGCTGTGTTGGTGGAGGAGGGGCTGTGTTGGTGGAGGAGGAGCTGTGTTGGTGGTGGTGGTGAAGGAGTGTGTGTGTTGTGTTGGAGAGGGTGGTGGCAGGCAGGCTTGATACTGGTGGCAGGTATGGTGGTTGTGGTGGCAGGTATGGTGGTAGTGGTGTCAGGTATGGTGGTACTGGTGGCAGGTATGGTGTTAGTGGTGGCAGGTGGTGGCAGGCAGGCTTGGTAGTGATTGAGAGATAGGAGAGCGTGGGGGTAAAACTTTGATCCTTGGGTGAGTGGCCCAGGCACGTCGATGGATGTGAGTTTACTGCCCTCAAGGTATAGTCTCTCTCTCTCTCTCTCTCTCTCTCTCTCTCTCTCTCTCTCTCTCTCTCTCTCTCTCTCTCTCTCTCTCTCTCTCTCTCGTCCGTCCTCGCTGCTCAAACCACATTGTAACGCCAAACGTGTGTCATGAGAGCCGTCAAACACCTTCAGAAGCTTTATCTGCTTTATGATAATTCCTCCGTCACCTAACCTAACCTAAACCTAGCTTAATCGTAACCTAACCTAACCTAAACCTAGCCTAATCGTAACCTAAACCTAACCTAACCTAACCTAGCCTAACCTAACCTAACCTAACCTAACCTAACCTAACCTTCAAGTAATGTTGGATAATGATAACAGAGGTGTATTTATTCTGAGATATTCATTAACTCTTCCTTAGTCACATGAGGTCCGTAGTGTGACATACATACATACATACATACATACATACATACATACATATACATACATACATACATACATACATACATACATCCATACATACATACATACATACATACATACATACATACATACTCTGCCCATGACACGCGACTCTCGACAACATCAACCTGTCATATGAAGCTGTCTTCGGCTACTCATACCGACTCACAATGACTCACAATGACTCCCAATGACTCACCACCATGCGCTTGCTCCTCTCTGGCTCCAGTACAAGGTCGATGATGTGGTTGTGTTGGCTGGTAGAGACTAACTTCCTTCATCTACACTACACCTTTGATGAGTTGACTTTGAAAGCACCATAAACACACGTATCGTTGTATGTGTATATATCGTTGTATGTGTATATGTGTGTGTATTATTGTATGTGTACTTTGAGACATGGGAAGACATGAA